TAGGTATGTATGTAAGTAGGTAAATAGGTAGGGAGATTAGATAGATGATAGATAGATGATAGATAGATAGATAGATAGATAGATAGATAGATAGATAGATAGATAGATAGATAGATAGATAGATAGGATATTTTCTCATTAGTGTATTCTTGGTGCCCAACTTTGTGTGATATTAAAGACTACATATAAGTCTTTTAGAATGGGTTGGGAACTGTATGTAAGTGGAGAAAATGAGTTTGATTAAAGTAACATATTGAAAGTAAAAATATTTTTTCTTACATTCTACCCAGCAAAATAGCATCTCCTCCATGCTTTTTCCCCTTCTTCTCCAGTTTAAATCCATTAAGTTGAAACTCAAAATTGGCAGCACTTTTAAGTAGTGATAGTTGTTGCTGGTTATATTCCCATGTTCTAAAAAAAAAGTTTCTACAACTTCTAGAATTTATAATCCTTTTTAGATTATCTTCTATGTAAGATACATCATTTTTAAAACAACACACAAATTATGTGGGGCAGAACTCTTGCTTATAAAGAAAATTAAATGTCCTTTCCTGCACTTACAATGAAGATATTAGAGACGATTACCATTTTAGTTGTATTATACGCCAACAGTGATGTAAGATCTCCATTTTGGAATTTAAGATTCATTGTTACTTTTGTATTATTGTCTGATATTGCTGTAAAGATGCTTAATTGGGAGTATTTTATCTTGTACTGAATCTGAATTAAGTAATAATTTTATTTCATGTCAGGTTGGAAAAGCGTGGACAGCATACCCAAGTTGGTAGCTGAATACATGTCCAAAAAAATAAAAGTGGATGAATTTGTGACCCATACACTACCTTTTGAGCAAATTAATGAAGCTTTTGAACTTATGCATGCTGGAAAGAGGTAAGTGTTTTGCTGCATATTAATCCCAGTGGGCAGATAATCCCTACTGAAGAATGGGCCTTATTTTTAGCTACGTAGGCCCAAAATTACCATTTAGTATTTAACCTGTACAACTGGCATCCTTTTTGTTTGTTTTCACCTTTTTAATAGCGGCTTGGCTTTTTATACTTTTTTTTTAATCATCTCATGTTGCTTGGATCAGCTGCCTTCCTTTGAATAGGAAGTGGTATCAGTATGCCAGTTTGGGTGCTAGAGTATTTTCCAAGATATTGAGTTGATCCATTTAAAACTTCTTGGTGTTTTCTTCTGATGTGGGAACACAGCTGTTTTGGTAAGATATTTGGCTATAGAAAGACAGCTTGTGCTACAGGTTTTTTTCAGGGCCATAAGCCTGATGCCTCAGGGAAGGGCAAGTGACCAGAATCCTTATTTTAAATTTAAACATTCTGTCTTTTCCTTGCAATCTTACACTGGGAAGAAGTTAGAATGAGGGGAACTCAAACAGATAAAGAGCGGGCAAAGGGTGAATTACAGAAAGAAACCAATTAATTTGACTGTTTAGTTATACTTGATTGGAAGCGTTGCTGAATACATGGAGCGCTACAAGATAGTGTTATTTATCTGAAAATATGACTAATTTAAGATACCTTCTAAAACATATTGATAAAATATGGTGCACAAAAATCCTCCAGTTAGTGCCATGTCAACCTCTCTCTTCCTTGCCTTTCACTGGAAATGATGAAATAATAAACTGGAAATGGGGTAAGAGAAAAATGTAGCTAGGAAGGAAGGGGGGGGGGAGGACTGTTTAAATTGCTGAGATTGATATGCAAAGGTTGCAGTGCTGAGCATTCTGGGAATTGTAGTCCTCACCTCTGAAAAGTACATAGGCTGGAGAAGGGTCATAAGACAAGAGCATTTTTGTTTTTACTGTACAAACAATTATTTGTTAGCTTCCTTTCTCTTTAAGGTACCTTAAGTTTAGAGTACAAAATATTTCTCTATTTACCTTCAATAATTTAATTTTCTTAAATGTCTTATTTACCAGAAAAAATAATGTCATCTTCTTGGTGACTATAAGCCAAGTTTTGCATAATTTGAGGAAAAATACAGCTTTCTTTCTAGTAAATATACAATAAGAAATATTACTTTTGTGGTATAGTGTAACTACACAGTTTGAAATTGTTTTTCTTGCCACTTTACAGCATCCGAACTGTTCTGAAATTTTAAAAGATCTGAAGAAATAATGTTTAAAACCTTTCAACACACTTTTTGGAACGATTGTAATGATCAAGTTGGAACCCTCTTCTACAACAAAAATCATGGATCATGCCTTAAAATAGCATACACCAGTTGTTTTTTAAATACTGTATACAATCTAACTTTTTCCATCTTAGTGGATCATGAAATATCAAATTGTAAACTGTAGGTTTACTTAGAATCAGAAACTATTTTTTAATACTTCTACTAATAATCAGTTTAGGCTATATCTGCCCTTGGAAAAAGAATAATGATTAAAACTTGTCATTACCTTATAAAGATATATTTATGAAGTTTTTTTTCCCCTTTCAGATTTACCCACAATTATTCAGGGATTCTGTTGTAGTTCCAGTTTGTTTCAATAGTGGTAATGAAAGATAAGCAAAAAAAAAAAGATCTTACTATACCATGGATTGTGTGAATAGGCTGTGGTTTCCCAGAACAATATAACCCTATGAATAAATAACAAAGCTCCAAGTTAGACCTATTATAGCTTTTATTCAATTGGGAGGGGGGGGAGTAACAATAAGCAGAAAAGTCCCATCAATTGATCTAGATTACCCATACTCATATATTTCACTGATATTTGCTCAGAAATATATGTTGCATTCCAGCCTTCCCAATTGCCAATGCGAGAGCACAAGTCACATAATTTCTAGATTTCCCTATGACATGATAAGACAGTGCCAGGGGCCTGAAACATCACCGAGATAATTTTAAAAGCTGTTTCCATAAGAAAACTGTTGGGTTGAGGTTTCACCTTTCTTTTTAAATCCACTGCTGCACAGTAATTTCAGATGTGGGTATTTTTTATTTTTATTTTTTTTACATGTAGGGTACAATTCAAAGACCCCTTATTTTTCTGGAATGTTAAACATGTTTGGAAGCTTGAAAATGTTATGGGCCATTCTCACAAAAGAGCTGAGATAGTGGTGGTTGGTTTTACCACAAACCACCTTTCTGGTTACCAGAAAGGAGATTTGGGAGGAAAGGGCTAACTCCATGTCTTCTAAGTAGCAGTTGGAACCTAAAGCTTCTTTATCTCCTAGAGAAAAGGTTCATCTCAGTTAGCATAACTAGTAACTGGTAAAGACGAGTGTGAATAGCAAAACTACATGTAACAAACTGGTGCAGCTAAATTAACCTGCATTTCAACCTTTAGATCAAATGAACTTTCTCAGTCTCCTCCTCTTCAAAAGGTAGGACTGTTGGACCCATTGTGCAGTGACCAGAAATGTACTTCAAAGTAAGTGCCAACTACTATTTTAGGTCATTGGAGATAGCTGATTTACCATAACCAAAATGTCAGAGTGTCATAGAGTCAATATTCTGACCCAGCGAGGCTACTTTTTGCATCTGAAGCAGCACAGTTACTATAGTCTATGAGCAGCTATCACTTGCTTTCTAAAAATGTCATGGTATTCCAGCTGGAAAAAAATCTGAGAAATGAAAGGGAATGAACTTGGTGGACACACTTTGAACTATCACTGTGGAAACCAAGCTAATTCGTGTGGTGCAATAAGTATAGGACTCAACTGTCATACAATATATGGTTCTAATTAGAAGCTCTTATGGTAAGGCAACATGGAGTTCCAACTATCACATCAAGCAATAATATTTGATTTTTTTAAAACTTTATGGGGGTTGTATGAAACCAACCCAAAGGCTTGTAAATAATCATGGTTTCTATCTTATCCCATCCAGCTGAGGTTCATTCAACTCAAATATATGAATCTAATAATAAAGCCAAAATCAGAAGTCGGCATTGAAGTACATCTAAAATTTGGTTCTAGAAGCAAAAGTGCAAGTGGTGCATGAATGACGTATTTCCTCACCTGGTACATTTTCTCTGCTGCTGTTGGTCCCTATCTGAACTTGGTGGCTTTTCTGTTCTACCCCCTGGTCAAAGACACCATTTGACTTCCTTGGCCTAGCCCCTTTGTTGCTGGTTTCCTTCCTTCTGATTCAGGCACCTCAATGTTCTGCCATATCATTCTGGCTTTAAAATTCAGGTCCACTTTCTGGAAACTTTGTCTTGTTGGAACTTTGCAATGCTCAATTAGGTACCCTGATCTTCAGCTTTCCTTTAAAAGCCATGAAATTCCAGCAGTCGGGACATTTCAGCAGTCTTCTGTCCGAGCTCCTCTTTGCCAAATCTTCATTAACCAATGCACCAGATCTACCTATACACCCTTTGCTAGACTAACTCTTCTAGAACTAGCCTTCTTAAAGGCTTCATCCCCCACAAATGTCCTTTCCAGGCACCCAAAGAGTAAGCAAAGTGTGACTCTCAGGGCAACAATAGCACTTTCATTTAGCTGCCCTGTCACAACTGTACTTCTTTCACACACAGGCAAAAAAGGAAAGAACAAACTCTAGGGCCAACCACCCAGACCTCTAATCTCCATTCAATAAATAAGTTACCCTTTTTGTCATACCTGTTCTAAACCTCCAAACAACAATAAAGTCAGATGCTGCTGGTGGAAGCCGAGATCATTTAAACAGCATACAATGATTTTATAACTAACACAGAGCAGAAATGAGCATATTATGGCCATGATTTCATGACTTTTATTTGTCTTCATTTCTGTTGCTGTACTTCAACGCTGTACGGATGAAGTAGGTACCAGAATAAAAAAATGGTTGAAAAATCATTCTCATTACAGAATACAGATGGAAACATCCACTGGCCAACAAAATTAAGCCTTCCCTGACATCAACCAAGGTAAATCTGTATAACCAATTCACATAAAGTATGAGGGGACATTATCATACTATCACCTTTGTCTAAGGATCTTTGGGGAAAGAAGAATGATTTCCAGGGCTGTCCAAATCTTGCACATTTCAAAGGCATTCTCTTTGCTGCAACAGCTTCCTTTTCATGAAGCATCACATTGGCCAGTTGCCATAGCACCTACATCTGGTTTGTCAAATGCCTAAGAACATTTCAGGAAAATAATTATGTGATAAAATGGGCCGTGGGAAACACGCAGCATTATATCTTACTTTCCTGTCTGTGGCTCAGTTCTCATTACCACTGGCAAAGTTTTCCTCTTTAATCTGCAGTGAAGCTGATTTCAGTTGTTATGGGCTCAAAATTAATAGCAATAGCAATAGCAGTTAGACGTATACACCGCTTCATAGGGCTTTCAGCCCTCTCTAAGCGGTTTACAGAGTCAGCATATCGCCCCCAACAACAATCCGGGTCCTCATTTTACCCACCTCGGAAGGATGGAAGGCTGAGTCAACCCTGAGCCGGTGAGATTTGAACAGCCAAACTGCAGAACTACAGTCAGCTGAAATAGCCTGCAGTGCTGCATTTAACCACTGCGCCACCTCGGCTCTTAATTAACCATTTCTGATCCCGTTCCTGACAGCTGCATGTCACAATCCCAAAGTATCATTTGAGGTACTTTGGGGTATCAAGTGAGCCCTACAGTGGACAAACATTTGATCATGGCAATGAAGTCATATAAAGTCACAAATGTTACTATACATGGTAAACAGGAATTATTTGTATTTTGTTTTTCTATTTCAGTTGGAATAATAGCTTTTTACTAGTAAAATTTTAGAACCTTATTGGCTGTCAAGTGCTACCCATTTTAAAGCTGTAATTTGGTAAAAGCTCAAACCAGGCAGGATATCTCATCAATTTTGGCCTCCCTGCCTCACACTTCACGGCTTTTCACAGAGAGCCCCTGGGCAAAGGCAAACTCTCTTCATTAACTAATGGTTATTGTACTTCTATGTACAATTACAACAGAGGCAACCAAAAGGGAGTAGGAAAGGCAGCAAAGTTCTAGAGGGACTAGTACACAGTACTAGTTTCATTTTTGTAGGATATAATGCCACCTCTGAGTTGTAAACAGATGAAAGCCTAGCCTGTTTAAAACTGCCTTTGCGGCACAAGCTAAGCAGGGATAGCCTTTGGAACAAGAAAAGTTCAAAACCTAAAGTAAGCTCTCACATTCACCATGAAAACGTTGTCTTAGGTACACCAGCTGACAACTGTGGCAGTGACAAAAATCATCTGAATCCTAGCTTTTTGTTTTTGCTGTTGTTTCCTTTTGGTGGGCAGAAAGGAAAACAAAGGGGTGCTACTTGGGAAACTCTTTTTAAAAGTTCAAACAGTGTCGGGGTCCTCTGCATCAGATTCTTCTGAGTTGTACAATGCAGATTTGCATTTCCCTTATCTATAGGCAATGACAAGAAAACAGGTGATGAAATCCCCCTTCCATCCTGTACATTAGTAAAATGCATAGTACAAATGCTCATTTCAAGGTCTTCACGTGGCTCATACTAGCACTGGGTCATGAAGTGAGGACGAATGCTATCCAACCGTCGGGTTAAGATGTCACACCCAGTATCTGTGACTAGGAGTGTGTGCTCAAACTGAGCAGACCGCTTGCCATCTCGGGTCACTGCAGTCCAGCCATCGGGCCAGGTTTCATCTTGCCACCCACCTAATGAAGACAACATAAACAGATTCAGCATAATGAACATAACACAACAGATACAGCTTCTGCAATTGTCTATGGAGAGTCTCAAACATCCAGTCATGGTTGTCCCAAAGGTGCTTTTTCCCAAAAGTTTTTTTTTCTTTGAAAACATTTTACTTCTCATCCAAGACATTTCTTCAGTTGAAGAAGCAGCTTCTTAGATAAGAAGCGAAATGTGTTTTTTTTTTTTAAAAAAAAAGTCCAATTGTCTTTTGGAAAAGCATCAATCAATTGTTCATTTTTTTTACAAAAAGAAAAACTTCAATTGTTCATTTTTTTAAAAAAGAAAAACTTCAGCTTTTTATTTAGGCATACTGTATAGCTTATATATATAGAATGTTGGCCTGCTTTTCATTAAGCAACATCTCTGGAAGAAGTATATTAAAGTCAATAACCCTGCTATTTTCTCCCCTACAATCAACTTGGATAAAAGGGAATACAGGGCCCCCTCCTCCTCTATTTTGGGAAGCAATTGTTCCCCACCCTTTAAGAATGGTTCCAACATAAGAAAATGTATTGGTGCTGTTCAGAAACCAATTTTCAATCAAATCCCCAGAGAAGAGAATCTTTTAGCACTGGTTGATCTTTTAGCTAATGCTCATGTTTTTTCCAAGGTTTATTTTAATAAGCATGAGGAAAAACCTGTTTTCCAGTCCACTGGATCATTAATATTGTGTTGCTATCTGGAAAACATTTATTCACATATTCTACTCTGGGTATTACTCTAGTAATATAGACCATTTATAGCAGTGGTGGGTTGCCAAATTTTTTATTACTCATTTATGTGTATTCCTGCGCGTGTTCACGTGCGCAACGCTTCTGCACATGTGCAGAAGACTCTGGGCCTCCTGCTGCCGTTACTACTGGTTTGCCCGATCTGGGCCAAACAGGCAGCAACCCACCTCTGATTGATAGGCTCCATATCCTTATTGTCTCGGCTTCCTTGCACTCTTATTACTCAGTTTTTATATATTTTAACAAATTATCTCTATGAAAAAATATGCAAAAGGGTCCAAAATATGCCAATTTGTGGAAGATACAGTTTTTTAAAAGGGGGGAGGAGAACTCTTTTATCATGATGCCCTCTTATAATTTTATTTACATACATGACACTCAAAAGTATATTTAATAATTTAATTGTGCAGATTTTTCAAAAGCAAAATGTCATTATGGATTTTTTAGAAATTAGTATAAACTGACTAGAGAGCCTGTCAGATAGTTTAGGCATAAGAACAATCTTGGATACAATCCTTTGTACCTTCAAGTAAAGATGTAACAATGCAAAAATATGAGCAAGATTTCATCTCAATGGTTGGAATATACTTTGCTTACAAGATAGCAGCTCCCCAGTGACCAGGAAATGTTCATATATATAGCTCCCAAATTAATTTCAAGAAATTTCTAGTTAGAAACAGAATTCCTTAGATTCATAACAGCATATTACCTTCACAGATCATTGGTTCTATCGTAAATGCATGGCCAGGCTTCATTACTCCAACAGCCTTATTTTCTGGGAAGGACAATAAAATATTATCGGGAAATGATCACTTCTCACAGACAAGACAGGAATGAAATACAAGACAATGCTAAAGTACCACAATGTA